TAACACTCATTCTGGTACAAAAAAAGGAAGAAAGGACAAAGAAAAAGTAGCTGAGCCCCGTTTCTGCAAACACCAGGACAGGCTTCAACTCTGATCTGGCTGATCCAAGGAAATGGCTTAGCCCAAACTGTCTCCAGCAGGGAAGCAAGTAATGAGGCTTATCTGGGTGGGTGGTCAGGAGGAAGTGAGAACTCCAAGCTGATTGCTTCCTGCAACTTCACATCTTACCCCTGACTTTAGAAGGGTCTAAGATGTCAACCCCGCCCCCCATACACACACACACACACACACACACACACACACACACCACCACCACCACCACCACCACCACCACTGGGCTTTGTTTTTCTCTTACACTCGGGCTGCACATGCACCCTGTTGCCGCTTGCAGCAGAAGAACTGCTTGCGCACGGTCTGGGCACACCTCTCCAGGGTGGGTGAGCACAGGCAGGCTGAGCACAGTCTTTGGGCCTGGCGCAAACAGAGCGGAATGTGGGGTTGCTGCTACACCATTATTCAAAGTAAAGCAGAGAGCTGCTGTCAAACTGATTACAAATTAGTTTTCGAAATGGTTTTCCCCTGCTCCTACTCCTTGGCCTCTCATTCCCTCCACCCTCCAGCCTAACAACTTTCTGCTTTTGCTTCCTTTTTCCCATCCTCCAGTTCCCTCTCCCCCAACAACACATGGCCTCTCACGGTTCTCGTGACATTTTTCTGGCCTTGGTTCTTTCCACTTCTTACCTCCCCCGCTTCTGGGGTCCCTGCTCCTTCTGCTCTCTTTTTGGGGGCACAGCTGAGTTGCCTCCTCGCCTCTCTGTCCTGTGGACTCCCCCGTCCATTGTTAACACAGCAAAGCACATCTGGATGGCTTGTTCCCTTCCACCAATGATGGGATTGGATTACAAGTTCCTACTCAAACGTTTTAAACAGAAATAATTGAGATTGATATGCAAACTTCCTAAGGCTAGGCTCGTTCATCCCTAGCTTATAAGAATTTACAATACCATTGCCTCATTACCTCATTTGTTGGAGTTCTGTGGTCCTTGTCTCTGGGGTTCTTTTTAGTTTATTGCTCAGTGCTTTTGAAACCCTCATTACTCACTGCACTGTTGTCTTCATTTGATAGCAATAAAGATCTGATGTTTTCAGAGTGGTAGTTTTAACTGAGCAGATACTTAACTGCTTTCAAAATATAATGTGTCTCATTACCAAGCAAATGCAGTATGTAAACAGCCATTTATCTTAATTGGTTGTAATGCACAAAGCAGGAAGGTTAAGTAGAACATAGCAAGCGCACTGTGCTGCTTCCCAGCTGTGGTGACTGCTCCAGGGATACTTGCTGCCAGCAAGGTGCTGCACCCCCAGGGCCAAATTCCCTTCCCGGGAAGATCGTGGGGCTGCATTGCAGTGGTGGGGGAGCCATCATTACAAGGGGCAAATAGGTGAGGTACCCCTCCCGTAAAGCTTTTCCTGCCTGCACCTAAGCCCAGGAGGGGGAATCTCTGCATTATAATGGAAGACATGCAACAGTCTGGAGCCTCCCAGTGATCAGTGACTGGGGGAAGAGGTGGGGCTGGTTTGGACCCCAGGCAGACCAGATTTGGCCTGTGGATCTGAGGTTCGATAGTTCTGTGCTGCACATGCCCCTGAGGTTTCCTATTCCTGACTGGAGGCCTTTGAATATGTGAAAAATCAGAAATTACGCACTGATGAAGTCACTTCCTTTTTCTTTTCCTGCACTGCACTACCACATTTTCTGCTTAAACAGCCCATGGATAAAGCTCCATTTCATCAGGCTGCATTTGCTTGTCCATGCAATTTATCGCATTCTCTAAATGTGGTCTGGGCATGTTCTGCTGCTGAATGGGCAGCTTGTGAAAAAGCTGCGGGGCTTCCAGGATACAGGCCAGTGTTTCCCTGCTGCCCTCATTGCCCCGATTTACACGTAACAGCAAATTGTGGGTTAGTTAACCCATTATCTGTCATGTGCTTCCCACACATCCCTCAGTGCATCTTTTAATGGGCAACTCAACTGGCCTGCATGCAGGAGATGATTGTGACAGGCAAGTCTGGAGCACTGGGTTATTTAGGGTTAATCCACAGCTTCTTGGAGTGAGAACTGGGTCAGAGAAGGGCAATAGGTAAACCTTGATCTGTGACCCATGACCCCAGTGAATTTAGTCACTAGCCCAGTATTTTCTGCACTGACTGGAAGTAGCTCTTCCGTGAGAGGCAGAGGTGCTTCCCAGAACCTGGTAGCTTCTACTTCTAGTGGGAGATGCTGGGGACTGAGTCTGCTTTGTGCAAAGCATAAGCCCTCCTTTATGGTAGCACTCCCCACAATTGTTTATTTCCTCTGCATATTTCTGAATTCCCTCCCCATTCAACATGCTGTGGCCGAATCCAGTGTGTGGTTTATAATAAAGCCACAAGACCAATAAAATGCAGCCATTTCAAATGAAGCTAAACAAAACTGATAAAACATGTAACACTAAGCCCTTCTAAAACCAGGCAGCAGTTTTAATCAGTAAAATCCCCCTGGAGCAGTATCAGCCTTACTGGTTGCCTATAGACAAATAATAAGGTCCACTGGAAGGCAGGGCCGTCGCATGGGCCTGATGGGCACTTGCCTGTGGGCCCCATACTAATCCGTGTATGTTAACCCTTGACAAATTGGAAAACTTCCAAAATTAACTCTGGTTGTAGTTGTCGTAGGGGCCCCAGTACACTGCTTTGCCCGGGGCCCATCATGCTATTGGAAGGGTTCCACAACTGGGGTGCTGCTGCAGAGAAGGCCCTGCCTTCAGCCCCCACTAACGTCACCTTCTAATAGGGCTTCACAAGAAGAATGTGCCCTCAGGGAAGGGTTGTACAGGCAGAGGTGTTTTCTTCAGGTTTCTAAGCTGGAGACCCACAGGTGGGAACCGCCACCTTGAATTTGGCTGAGAAACAAACAGGAAGTTTGTGATGCTTTCCCCAGGCTGGTCTTAGATGGTCTACAAAATGCACACCAAAATGAAGTCTGCCAGCCACGGTTTACACCGTACATTTTTCTAGGGCAGCCCAACACAGAGCTTGTTACAGTAAGCTCACTGTGAAGTGGTTAAGGCATGAACCAATGTGGAGCGTTCTTCATGCTCTAGACTTAGGGAATGCTCCTGCGTCTCTACTCTGCAATAAGTATTCCTGTCATCTCTAAATACCAATATTATTTCCTGTGTAAATCTACCCTATCCCTTGATAAATACGGAATGACTACCCAGTCAGCTACGTGCTTCTGCTTCATAAAAATGTGAAGCATCTTCCTGCAGTCCATGTCTGAGCTGTTCTGCTTTTTTATAAATCAGTAAGCCAGCTGAGCTTTGTAGCAACTCTGAATTTAGTGAGATACCTTTATTTATTTAGACTACAATGCTCACAGATTGGGGACCTCCAGCAGTGCCATCCTAGCTCCTAAGGCTTTGATGTTTTTCTGGGTTTTGATCACATGCTGCTGCATCAACAGCTCCAGAGCTTGAGGTATTAGAAAGCATCTGAAGAAGTTGCCATGCCAGAAGCATGCAAGGCCTGGGCAGCAGCTGTTTCTATGCCTGTTCCTTTGGTGCCCAGGGGGATTGGCCAAGGGAGGGACAGAGCTTCTGGGTTATCTGCAGCCCCTCTGAGTTATAAAAAGCAAACATGGAGGCCACTCTGTTTTATGGGGGGCAGGGAGAGAGAGGGAGGAAAAATCAGGCTTTTGTGGGGGTCTTTTGTGTTTTGACCTGGAGAATAACGTGTTATTTGATAGATGTAGATTCTCTCATTTAATTCTCTCATTTGTGCTAATTTTGCAAATGACAATCGCTGTGTTGGTATTTTGCAAATCTTAGAAAGCTCTTTCTACACAGTTACAACACCAAGTAATTGGCTAAGCTTTAGTATGTTAGCAGCTGCACTGAGGCCAGGCAGGCTGAGCTTTTCTGAACTTTGTGTTGCATGTGAGCCGAGCTGACCCCCAAATGCAAAACAGTGTGGAACAGATGCTTTCTAGTGCTGCATTAAGTGCATACACTTAAAGGGCTTGCAAGATTTCACAGGATTATCAACCCCACTGGGGTCCATTTCCCAGATAGTTTCCAGATGTATATTTAAGGAAGTAGTTGATGTTGCTGTTTTTGTAACGTGTGAGTGAGCAGTCAGACATTCATTTGAGATGTGTGCCTGGCAAACAAGCTTTTGCCTATTTTGCAAGAGGGTGATTGCAGATTTACACTTGCTCATGTATGTAGAGCGATGATATCTATTTTCAGCCATTTTCCTTCTGGACACTAGCTCCCTGGTTATCTTGATAATGAGAACAGAAAAAAAACATAATATGAAAAGTATTCTTGAGGTAACATAGGCCTTGCAGAAAGGGTCTGATAGTGCTAGGCTTGGGGGTTTTTTTTTTAAGTGGCTCTGGATTTTTTTGGGAAAACCGGATGGTGGATGCCTGTGCCATTTGAGTGTGTAGGTTCCAGCTAGTAAGCCACCATGGTTTTAATCTCTGAATGAGTGTCTTGCAGTTGGAGCCCATATTAGTTGAATAAATGCAGCAAGACAAACTTCAAGGGCAAGAAGCTATGATTGCTGAAGACCAAAGAGTTGGAAGGGAGTTGGAATGGGTAATAAGTTACCCATTTCATCCCAGGGATCCACTGGTTTGTGAGCACCCACAGACTTCTTTGAAGTCTTGAGGACACTCCCTGGGTTTTGGTGCTCTCTGGAGAGGCTTGGAAATCAGTAAGAAATTCATCCGTTTCTCTTAAGATCCCTGAGGTCCCATCCTTTCCCAGGCTGAGAATGTGAGTTGAGTTATTAAAAGGAGTGGTTTGAAGGGCCTCATTTAATGAAACATGACTTTGCTGAATAGTTGCCAAGCATGGGAGCCTGAACTTTGTGATTTTGCTTGTGTCCCTGCTGACAGTAACCTCATCAACTTGATTGTGTTGCTTAAACTTGATTATTTTTATAAATTTCAGCTCTGAAGAGATCCTTTGAGGTTGAAGAAGTAGATCAGCCATCCAATTCTTCCACTCCACAAAGAAGAACACCCAACCCTCTTGGTCGGTCTGCAGTATCCAGCTCCACACAGAAATTCCAGGAGCTTGGCACCAGGAATTCAGAGAGTCCTTCCAGACATGTGGAGTCTTCTGCACAAAGGTCTCCTAAGTCCTCTCTGAGGAGAGTTGAGCTCTCTGGACCAAAACATCCTGAGACAGTGTCCAGAAGAACAGAAATCTCCATTGATATCTCATCAAAGCAAGTGGAAAACTCCAGTTCAGGAGCGTCAAGATTTGGCCTCAAGAGAGCAGATGTGTTGGGGCACAAGCCCCCTGAGACTGCTCCAAGAAGGACTGAGATCAATATAGGGAAGCCCCAGGACCAAGCTCTTCGCAGAATGGAAGTCCCTTCAAAGATTCCTGAACCAACACAACGCAGAGTTGAAGCTACTAGTCCACCTATGCCTGATGTTGCCACCAAACGTGTGGAGATCCAGGTAACAAAATCTTCAGAGGTTCCAGTACCACCAGTCAGGCAGACTGAAAATGTGGAGCTTTTCTCAGCCAATCAGCATCCGCCAACAGAAACAAAGTTACAATTAGCAGTGACTGAAATCCCACCCAAAAGCCAAGAAGGTAAGAAGAGGACTTGATTTTTGTGTGTGTGTGTGTGTGAATGCTCTTCTTTGGGGGTAGAATCAGTTACTGTTTTGGAGGTGCAGCTTAGTGCTTTGGCTTGTGGTTGTTTGCGCATAGCTCACCTTAGAGTTTTCCAGCATTAGGGAATTAGGTTTAATTTTGTGTGCTTTATATTACCACAAGCATGTCCATAAGCATGTATGTGTATTTATTGCAAAATGGTCCAGCATTCAAGTTCACTGCAGACTTTTAGAAAAGAACCGTGTGCCTTTTGGATGCCACTGGATATTCCTGTTGGTTCATTTGTTGTTTAATGTGAACTCTGTTACCGCACTGACTCCATTAGAGGTGCTGCGGGATTCTGACCCTAGGCCAATTTCACTTAAGTGAGAATATGGCAGAAATTTGGTGTTTCCATTGGTGCTTCCATCCTGGGAATTCTCTGTTACGTGATTTCCAGTGTAACTGATGCATTTTAAATGTTCCTTGTACACAGTAGATTTTCTGAGGAAATCCTACTAGGGCAGGACTATCCAATTTATGATCATAACCCACTAGCTTTGTATTGTAGCCTGCCGGAGTGCCAACCAACCAGTTATAGACAGCTGTCAAAAACAGGAGGGCTGCTTTTGCTTTTATGGAGCCAAAGTAGTTTATGCTAGTACCATCACAAATTTCAGAGATAGAATAATTGTACATGTTCAAAGGTCTCTGTTCAATGTTTCTTTGCTTTTTTGGAATAGAGCTGATGGGGAAGCGTTCAGATGGAGATGTGTATGGAGTGGGGGGCAGGAAGGAAGGGAAAATGGTCTGTTTCCAAATTTTTCAGAAAAAGCAAACAAACCAAGGACTCCCCGACCCCCAATTTTTCTGTATTTTTTTCCCTGGGCCTTCATATCTCTACCTTCAAATATCATCTGTATACCTTGCATTTAGGTGACTTGGTTCATTTTATATGAACATTTTTATTATTTTTCATGCCTTCCATGGTTTGCTTTGAATGGTTTTTTGTAGTTGTTGTTGTTGTAAAGCCATGGTTAGTTTGACGTGACACGAAGCCTGGAAGTGATGCTACAGACTTGCATAGTGGCAGCCTCAAAAAGGCTCCCTGGGGCTTTCGCTCATCTTCAATGAGTCCTCCATTTGTCGTTCTCTAGGGGAAAAGCAGGCAGGCAGGCAGGCAGGCAGAGTGTTCAGAATGCCCCTTCCAGGTATTCCCCTGCACACGTGCAGCATCTCAGGAGTGGGGAGAGGGGGATGCTCACTGGCTGTGTGTTCCCAGCCTCCTGGCTGTGCTCACATAGGACTCACTTCTGAGTTTGTGCACTGCCCCATTAGAGCTCTAAAGCTGGCTGGGAGCCCACCTGGGCAGGAACGCCTCCCCACTGCAGAGGTTTGGGCTTCAGGGAGGGGGCTGGGCTGGGCTGGGCTGGGCTGCTGAAAATGTGGCAGAAGGGACCAAGCCCTTGAGCACATTCCTCTTCTCCCTACATACCTGGTAGTGCTGTGCAAACAGGGATATTGATCAGGGCTGCTTTCACAAGGGGTTTGGAAAAGATTGAAAAAGGTGTCTTTCCCAAATCTTGGAGTTTTGATTGGGCTCGATTGCATGACCCACAGTTTGGCATTGCTAAACTGAAGGGGCTAAGAAGAATTCCAGAGGCAAATATAAGATCTCCTTGCCTTTTCCCAAAATGATTCTGGGTCTACTTGGCAAGCAGGGCAGGTATGATGCTTGTTACTGTCACCCAGTGTCGGGCAGCATCACTAACCAGAGGGGAACCCCTTCCCATCTCCCCTAATCTCTTCCTCTCTGTATTAAGGAAATAAATAGTGCGCCCTTAACAGCTGCCCTTGGCTGCCCTTTGTGGGGCTGAGGGTATGCTTTTCCAGTGCCTGCATGCGTTCCCCGAGAGGCTGAAATTCTGCTCCTAAGTCAAAGGAGCCAGCAATAAGAGCTTAAGGCTAATCTATGCAGGTACTGAGAGTAGTTTAGTCCAACCCATTTTGCCTTTGGCCAGTCCCTTTTTGCTTTCAGCATCTTTCAGAAATGCAGGGGAGCTCCCCAAAGTTCTTCTGAAACTGCACTCAGCCTTGGCTGACAAAGGCCTGTAATTGCATTTCAGTCACATGTCTGCGCCTGGCAGTTGCCATCGTGAAGGCCCCGTGTATGATTTTGCTGGGCATCGTCTGCCACGTGCTTCCTCTAAAAGTTAAGCCTCAGAGCATGTCCATCACTCTTCCTGCACTCCGTCTTAAAACTGTTACAAGCTGTAGACTTTGGAGAAAGTTCACGCCCAGCTTTTATTCCCTCTCTTTCACACACACGATGCCCATTCCTCACTGGGCTTAACATCCTGTCCTAATTGTAAGTGGATTTTAGATTTCTTTCTAACAAATCAGTGTGATGACCTGCGATTTTTATTATTTATTTATTTATGTGATATATTTATAGCCCGTCCTATACAAAAATTGTCTCGGACAAAATGTTTAGGTGCTTTGGAGAATGACTCATTTAACCACCCAGGCACTGCTTTGACTCAACACTGCTACCTGTAACTTTTGTATTATTTGCGCTGAATCCTGCTGTGAACAGTTTGCTTTCCAGCACTAGATTTGAACTGAGCTGAGTCTGGGAAATGGAGTATCCTAGGAACTAACCCTGACAAAGCCTTGCGGTTGAATAGGATGAGGATCACTGCTGGAGCTGCATTTGCCTTGGTCTATCCTTTCAGCTCCCAAAAAAGGGGACATCTGATATACCTCTTAAGCATTCTAGCACTGGGAACCTCTCTCTGAGGAATGTGTTCAGCCAGCAAGGTTGTGATATGCATGTGGCATTCCAGTCATCATGATGCTTTGGCATGCAGACTCATTTTACTGTGGCAAACAAATCAAATGAAAATCTTTAGCACAATCCCAGATCCTGTCTTCTCTGGCCCTTGCTTTCCTCTTCTATCTTGTTCTCAATTTCAGTTAGTCTAGTTACACATTACATCGCCTGTTCTCCCTCCTCCTTGCCACCAAATCTTGTCTTATTTTATGGTCATTTGCTTAAAAAGGCCAATAGACTTCCCAGCCTAAGACCTTCAGAGAACTTTCCATTCCCTGCTTACTGATTCCCCCTTTCTCTCTCCTGCCAGGTACTGTTTTCCTGTCAATAGTTAGGTCCTCTTTGTCTTGGCCATTCCATGAATATGCTGTTTGTGGATTAATAATCAGAGTGAAATGCCCCTTCTGTTTTTGGCTGTGCCAGACAGACTGTCTTCACCTCCCATTTCTCCCTTTCTCTACAGAGCATCTTAATTTTTGCTATGACTACCCTGGACGTGTGGTAGGAGTCAGTCCTTGTCTTGGTTATCATCCAGTAATTTTTTCCCCTTAGGTGCTTGGGACACTTGGCAGTCCAGATGTCTGTGCAGTGGGTCTGTCCAGTTTTCAGTTTCATACTGCTGTGCCTCCCTGGGATATGAGGGGTTTTGCTCTGTGTTTATTGTACAGGAAGGTTTGGGGGCTGCTTTGACTTGGGAACAGGTGAAGGTATGGGGAACCACTCACACTGTCACTTGCCACCAATTTTTGTCCGTAGCTGTTCTTGAGCTCCTGTAATTGAACTATTCCTTGTCACTCGTGCCCTGGAATTTGGAGACAGGTGTTGCATTTATATGGCCTTTGTGTGATAATCACAGGATTCTCCAAATCGGCTCTTCACTGCCATACAGAAAAACTGTGCTCTACTGAAAAAGGCATTATTTATATCCCAAGGTTTTATCCAAGCTCCTCGTAGAGCAGCAATAGGGAGTTTGTTGCCCTCGATATGTTTTGGCCTACAACACCCATGATCCTTCACCATTGTCTATGCTGGCTAGGTCTAATAGAATTTGTGGCCCTCCAGATGTGCTGATCCACAAGTTGCTCACTTGTGCCAGGGTGGAAAAGAATTATTGGAAGAATAGGCCATAGGAGGCATGGCTGAGCTGCTGTCTTCTCATTCCTTTATGCTTCCTTGTGGAACAAAAGGAAATTGTGAGGATGTATCTGGAAGAAACAGCCCGTGGAAGCATAAAGCTAGTTGCATTGGGCAGAGCTTTAAAAGCAGACCCTGCTGACTTTCACTCAAATTTTGGCAAGCAACTAGAATGAAAATTTAGGATTTCATTCAGTGGTTTTCATAGGAGTATCATGGTAGAATCAGGAAAACCCATAAAACTTGTAAAATCAAACCAGACCTATTTACGCCCTCCTTTACCGTTTTGTTAGAAGATGGGATCCTTGGTGAAGGAAAGCAGCAAAGCAAATACTAGATAGCAGCAATTACTTTAAGATCAACATTAGAACAATGACTCAGTCAAAAGGAAGGGGGCATCTTGTCAGCATCAAAAGGGCCCTTTTTCAGCAAGCTTGTATTGTTGGATTGTTAAATGATCTCTGGCTGGGTCTTGCCTGCTTTACCCGTAAAGGAAGCTTTGCCTCCTAATGGGTGGCTCCTGGTGACGTCATTACAGAGCCAAATCCTACTGGCTGTGTAGCAGTGTGATGTCATCACATCTTGTTCGTTCTCCCTGACTTTTCAAAAAGAGAGGAGATGGGGGGGGGGGGGCTTTAGAACAGCAGCAGCAGCAGCAGAAGGGAAAATGTGTATGTGAAGAGCTGCAAACACCCATTTGAAGGGGGGGTGGAGGGGGGGTCACCATCAGAGTGGAAATCAGCATCATGCCTGACGGAGTCCAAAGACACAGAGCCCAAGTCAGAGAGTCCTGGAACAGCTGCCTTGGAAGACAGGAGCTGAGTTTGATTGAAAGGGGGCTCCAGTATCCCAGGGCAGCTGCTGGGAGTAAGGCTGGAACAACGGCGGCAGCTGTCTGGCAAGAGATATAAAACATGAGACAGCCACAGGCAGGGCGTTGAAAACAAAGGGGGCTTTCAGTCCTGAGGAGTCCCTGCGCCAGTATAAGCAAAGAGTCAAAGGCAAGCAGGACCGAAGGATTCCCCTTGCA